CTGGCCGAAACGTCAGCCACCATGACTTCGACGCGGCTTGTCCCGGATAGCCCAGCCAACATAAACTCAGGCCGCGGAAGCCTACGCAACCATATCTTGGGTGAAATAGCTTGCTCTGGAATCCACTTTAAAAGTCCGACCGGAAAGAACATAACCCACCAGGTTGCCTCGGTTTCGGTGAAACGCACGTCGGAAGCCTAAGTGTAGACAGTGAGTGGCCAGGACGGGGGCTCCGAGCCGCTTGAACCTTCGTTCGGGAGGCCCCAGAACCTTCGTTTGGTTGGGGTCTCGGCCTCGTCGTGGCAGGGGTCCAGTTCTCTGGGCAAAGGAGGGGTTTGGTGTCCCGGCGCGTGTGAGTGGCGTGTTATCATCTGATAATGTTGACTCCAGCACTGGCCTGGATAGGTAGTAACTCTGAGCTGGCAGAGTGGCCACATCGATTGGGAAGGTTGTCGTGAGGGCAAACTGAGTTCTGGCCGGATCCGCATATCGGCCCGTTGTACCGGTGGGGGATGCGGATAAAGGGGAATGCTCAGGTTGTCACTCCGGTGACTTCTGCCTCCGGACAGTACATGAACTGCTGTTAGCTGATGTCCACAATAGGGAAGACCCCCTCCGAATGCAGACATAAGCTTTCAATATTTTTTTTTGTTTTTTTATTCCAATATTATAAAAGAACCTTTTCTGTTGGAAGAAATGGTTCATAATAGGGCATTTTACGGCACAAATGATGACGTATTAGATTTTATGTCGCGCCATAATGATTGCGTCAGCACACGTTTAGCCAATCATAGCGAGAGAATCGGGGGGAGGTAGAGCTAAACGGAACAGCCGACCACGGTTTACACGCACCATGTCAAATACCCGAGTCGTCACTGGGAAGTTGTTTCGCAAAATTAATTTTCATTCTCTTATAAATGTATAATGCTGTTATACAAAAAATATAGTATGCATCTCGTTTATAATGCTGCTTTATAAACGAATTGCATAAACTACTATTCTTTCTCTTAGCTGTAATGATTCAGTTAATTTTTACACTAACTAGTATGTAAAAATATTATTGGCCAGGAATACTGAGATGAGCTTTCTTTTTTCCATTATTAAATCAATTTCATTGAGAGAAAAAAATATTCATTTGATTACTAATTTATGGCAACAAATGTGATAATATAAAAAAAAACAAATTTACATAGTATTGTTTGCAAACTAAAATAATAATATATCAATAGAACGAATTTCCAGAACAGTACCTAGTTTTACATTTTTTTATCTTCCAAAAGTCCTTTTTTATGTCCAACTCTCTGTACACTTCTCCAAAAACGTTCTCAAATATTCCTGTGCATCTAATTTTCCTTAATATTGTACTCAATCGAATATACAGTTAATATCACTACCTATCACTACAACTTCATCTCGATCCTTTCCAAAGATTGTTGTTTCCTTGTAGCATTTAGAAACTAATTTTATAAGCTTTATTTTTGTTCATTTTGTTATATTATCGTACATTCAATGTCTAATGTTTGGTAATCAGTT